AGATATCAAAAAAGTACTCCAGAGTGTTGTTCAGCATGGGGGTGAGTAGAAAATGAAGGCTAATCATGTTTTGGGTGTACTATTCCTTTAAGGGTCTGTTTGGTTTGAAATGTTCTGGAATTTTGTGTTTGGAGAAAATCCTCTTGAGTTTTAAAGAGACTCCAGCATAGTGGGTTATTATTTTTTACTTTTTTGGAATAACTGTGATCTGGATCACTGAGAATCTTCACCAGCATCATGTGACATGAAAGTTTCCTTCTCTCCACACGTTCTTCAGCGCTGATGCTGCTGCTGTTGTTCTGCTGCATGACTCAAATCATCTGTGGAAACAGTCAGAACCAGATGGTCTGGACCTGAGCCCACCATCAGGACTTGGACTAGAACTGAAAACTTGCTCTGATCTCCTCTCTCTCTCTCTCTCTGGTTGTCCGTCCAGGCGGCCGCTGCTGCTCCTTCTCTCCTGATGGGAAAGCGTTGGCGGTGGGACTCAGCGACGGCGGCGTCCTGGTGGTGAACGCAGACACGCTGGAGGACCTGCTGAGCTTCCACCATCGCAAAGACGCTATTTCTGACATCCGCTTCAGCCCAGGTAGGAAGCCTGAGGAATAAAGCACTGATAACTACTAAATAAATGAGTTGATTAGGGTTTCTGCTCATTCAGAGTCTAAATGCAACCCAGAGCATCAGGCTGCAACTTATTTCATTAAAAATGTGTCATGGGAAAAAACTATTCAGCTATTTTTTCCAGTTAAATAAACGTTGATCGATGGATTTCACTCAGTCGGCACTTTATTTCATCTTTCAAAGAGAGAAGAGTTCATCATACGGCCCTTATTGCGCGGTAATCAGCCCTGTTCTGCCTGAGCAGGATTCAACACTTTGGTGAAACAGTAAGATGCCATAAATAAAACTAGAGAAAGAATCTGGCTTATTATGTGAATAAGAACGTCTTGTATAAAAACAGCCCTCACTCTGGCGTTTTGTGGCCTTGCAGGCAAAACAAACTGAACTAAATCTTTTTTGAGAGTAAAAACCATAAATCAATATAGGAAATAAGAGAAATATAAATTTTCCAACACAAAAGAGATCTGAGTGTAACGACCTTGGTTCTGTTGTTTTTCTCTAAGTTTTCAGTTTCAGGTTAATCCAGGTTTTTCCTTGTTTTCTAGCTTTATTGGTGTGTTCCAGATTCATTTAAGTTGCTTAGGTTTTTCTTTGTCTGTCCTCTGCTGCCCCCTTGTGTTCTTTTCCCTTGGCTTCCTCATCAGCTCTAGTCACACCTGCTCCTCATCAGCTCTAGTCACACCTGCTCCTCATCAGCTCGTTAGTCCTGCCTTTGTTCAGTCAGCCATAAATACTCTCCCTCTGCTGTCTCTCTTTGCTGGTTCCTCGTCTTACTTTTTCTCATCCTGGCTCCTTGATGGTTTTCCCCTGATGTCTCCATGGTTCTGGTTTGTGTTTGATTTTTGTGTTGGATTTTTATATACCTGCTTTTGTTTAACATTTTTAAGTTTGATTTTTTGGATTCCTGTTTTTGCTGCCTGATCTTTCATTAAATCTTTTAAGAACTCACCCCTGCCTGTCAGCCTCTGCATTTGGGTCCTCACAAAAACCAAATTGTGACACTGAGTTTATCTGATCCCACTTTGTGATATTCCCAGTCCTCCTCCCAAACCTTCAGCTGGTTTCTGTTTCTCTGGGGTTCAAATAAGGACGAATATCACAGCTGTTCACCTTCAGCTGGTCCTGAAAATCTCTGCCGGTGTTTAAAAATATTTTTATGCAGGTAAAGATCTGTAGATCTCTACTATTTTTCTGTTAGATTATTAGTTTTGCTCTAGTGGCTTTTATTTCAGTATTCTTAAAAGTATGCAGACAGGAAATGGGATTAGAGAGAGAGAGAAGAAATGCAGCAAAGGTCAACAGGCCGGGACTCGAACCTGCGACTGCAAAGCCTCTGAACACAGGTTGTGTGCTTATCCCATGCATAGAGAAACATGTTTTTTCTTTACCTTAAAAACCCTTTATAGCCTTTTATTTCGCTCTCTGCTAATAAAATTTGTCAATCGGAAGATTTTCCACAATAATGTCTGTTTTGCATCATTTCTAATAGGGAAGCACGATATAATCGACCCCCTATC